GCCGCGCCCTCCCTCCTCCACCCCCCCCCCCCCCCTCTGAGTCCTCACGTCTAATGGACTGCATTAGATGTGAAGATGTCATGTGTCCTTAGACTACCAAAGCCTGGGGAAGAAGAGGCTGCGGGGACCAGTCTAGCAGCCAGATGGAACCAAGCATTAGGTCCCATGTATTTCTTCTTTATATTCACCCCTAGAAAAGACAAGCACTTAAAGCAGAGCTTCGCACAAAAGTGTTCTTAATCCTTTAGCATCTAAAAAAAAACGAGCACTAAACCCCTGCAGTGTGGCAGTGGGTTAATTTTTTTTAAATGCCGGAGTTCCTCTTTAACTTTAATGTAGTTAAATCAACTATAGCTGCCCCAATACAAAACGATAATGTGCTAACGATTTTAGATAATATAACTGTATACAATTATGTGTATTAATTGATGTGTGTATTGTATTAAATATGTGCACATCATTTGAAAGCATCAGCTGTCCTAATCATTATTTAATTCTTTAATAGATATAAGAACTGCCAAAGTTGTGAGTGGGAGAAGTATCAATCTGGCACTTTCACACAGAGGACGCCAAGCTCTCAAAGCTGTTGGGGTGGAAGAAAAGGTAATTATCCCTAATTTGTACCCAAAGTATAAGCCACAAACATGCAACAGTAGAACAAAGTATAGCAATATTATTAAGGGAAACATGTAAAAAGTGAACAATGATTTTTAACCAATACAGAGTAGGAAAAATAAACTTTTCTAGAAAAGGGAACAGTCCTTCGATATGTATGTATTGTATTACTACAAATATGCATCTAAAGCAGGGGTGGGCTAACTCCGTCCCTCCAGCTGTGGTGAAGCTACAAATCCCTTGATGCATCTGTGTCTGGGAGTAATATCTGTGGCTGTGAGAATCGTACAATGCCTCACGGGATTTGTAGTTTCACAACTGCTGGAGGGCTGGAATTTGCCCACCCCTGTTCTAAACTTCAGAAATTAAAGCTTTTATAGTTACTCATTCTTCAAGACATGGCTTGCCTTTCTATAGCCAGTTACCAGGTGATTTGTGTGCACAGGTTTCACACACTGTAAAAATAAGGAAGATTTTCTTCTTAAACATGTACACATTATAACAGTTATTCAGTGGATGAAATAAAGCATCCAGAAAGCAGACTGGACAGCAGGGCTGGACAGCTGTAGACACCAGTTATTTTATGTTGGAGGGTAAAACCTGTCTTATCTACTGTGGCAGAGTAAGCCAATGCCACGGTGGAGGATGGCGACCTTGGCACCCAGGACTCTCAGCCAAAGGGGCTGAGAGGGTCCAGAAAGTAAAGCATGTTATAAGGAAGAACCTGGCTTTTCAGGTTATTCCAGGTTTTCCTATTTGCAGCTGGGATCTGGAGCTCTGGAGATTTCGTAGAGCTCTGGGTGGGATGAGATCTCCAGTCCTGGGGCCAGGTGTTGCCAATGACCAGCCTGGGCTAATCAGGTGGCTGAGAGCAGCCTTATCAGGAAGCCAGCCCAGTGCTCAGGAGAGTGTTGGAGTTGTGTGTGTGCAGGGAGCACACAGACACAGACCACCTCGGGTGCGTGCTGGACGCACACGGAACAGCCAGGGGTGGCTGGGAGAGGTCAGGAAGGTCGGTGACCCCGAGGACCTGCGGTACAGACTGCTGGGAGAGCAGAGCGAGTGCCCACGAGGGGAGAGGTCAGGAAGGTCGGTGACCCTAGGACCTGTGGTACAGACTGCTAAGAGAGCAGAGTGAGGGCTCATGAGGGGTGAGCAGCGTGGGTTTCTTGAAGCTGTGGAAAGCTACGGAGCCATATAAAGGACTGTTTTATGTTGCTGCTGCAAGCTATTTTGTGTTTGCCCTTTAATAAACTGCATTATACTTGACTTACCTGGACTACAGTGGAGTGTCCTTGTTACACTACATAACTGAAAAATTGAAAAAAGCATAATGGCGAAGTGAACCAACCATTATCTGTGCCCTGCTGTTTGTTGTTACATCTTCACAATATATGAGGCTCAAAAAGTGGCACGCATCCATCATGAGTGGATGGATTAAAGGTTGTCATTTATTGAGGCTATTGTTTCAGTGGGGTGTGTTTGTTGGTCTGAATCAGGATTCTTTAAACTACGGCCCATGGGTTACATCCATTCTGGCTACAGCCATTTATCCAGCCCACAGTAACCCGAGCTGGCTGACAGAGGATGTGTCGGTCTGGGTTTTGTAATATGGAGACTGGCGCATCCAGTTCCTCCCCCAGTCCCCAGTGTAGATTCCCCCTCTGCTGTGGTTGGTTGCTAGGCCCGCTGGCACCCTAGCAACATTTACCAAAAGCTAAAAAACCCTGTTCTTTCACTACAAGGAATTGTTAGCTCTCCCTAATGGCACCAACTGATAATATGGCTGCTGTAAGCCCACCATTTTATAGGAAAAGGGGATAGGTTATCCATTCCTTCAAATTACTGGCTTTTGTGCCTCAGCTGATCAGGGCAGGTTCACTGTTCATTCACTACATATTTGTTTGTAAATTTCAATATCACCAGAGCTGAATTTTTTATTGCACTCTTTTGATTCCTATTTTTTTGTTGTACGTGGTCTTTTAATATGTTTACAAACATAATATACTTCAAAGTAAATTAGTCTCCTTGAATATAATCAGATGCTCTGTATATTATGTGCTTTTATTGATATGTTGTAATTTAAGAAAATAAAAAAATAATTATAATGCTCTATTGTTAATTAAATCTAACTAAGAAAATATCAGATTTGCAACCTTTAAAATTGACAATATACAAAATACAATATCCGGAGCTGTCTGCTTAGTTTTCTCATCATTAGTACATCTATCCTCAAATCTAATATTTTGTTTTGTGTAGCTTAGATTACCAACTGGCTTTTCATAGATATTTGTTATCATTGACAATATCTCAGCAATATCTCTGCACCACTGGCAGAACTACTTTTACTCACCCTATTGGATTTTAAAGCGCAATTACATGCAACAAGTGATACCAATCAGTGAGCTATTACTGTTACTGCTAATTATATTAATCTGTATTGCCGAAAATCTCCTACAATAAGTATTTTGAGAGCGCCTTGAGATCTCACTGTGGCTGTTTTCCTAAAGCCTGTGCTGTGCAAATATCTCCCACTTTGCTTCCTGTACGACCAGTCACATTCACATTTCCTAAGGCAAGTTTGAATCCAACTGGTGGCTGTAAGTAGCCTATTTCTATCAACACTTTGCAACATCAAGCTTTCCATTTGCAGGTAGCCCACAATGTGTGTGTGTGTGTTATGGAAAAGTTATCCTGCATCATGGGCAGGGTTCCCAGTTATATATTAATACATTTATTTATTTTATTGTATTATATTATATTTACTAAGGTACTAAGGGGACCTGATGCATAACAGTGATGTCTAGAAATGATTAAACACAAAGTATTATTAAAACTTTGAGGCCATGCATCTGAAAGTTTAGTCTTACTTTTACTGTAGGAGTCTTTGTGGCAGAAGTGACAAATCTAGAAACTCCATCATGAAAATATATTTGCAAGTTTTGGAGAAATATTAGAAACTGGTTGGCGACTAAGCTCACTTAGGTCCACTATTTTTGGTGTGCTCACAGTTGTCATTAGCCTTGTATTTCTGGGGGTCCACAATCATGCTACATGTTACTTTTATATGAATGTTATTCATTTAAAAGTACTCTAAAATATTCATGTTTACTGCGGATACATATTAGTCATTGATATAAAAAAGAGCTACCCTCTAATTTGTCTTCCACAGTCTCACAGACATCCACATTCTAGCACCAGTTAGAGGCATGCTGTCTAACCAGTAAGTGGGTTTCGGGGAAAAAAACGAACTCTTAAGTGGCAGGAGGAGTGGGCATTACAAACTTCCTACAGATAGAACATTAGGCTCTCTTAGCAGCTCCTAGCATTACTCATTTATAAATCCCAAAAATAGTAATTTATTGTTGGGATGTGAATGAGAATCCCACAATTAGATGGTTCTGCTCTAGAGAAGTGCCAAAACTGCTATTTTGTGAAGGATGTAAACACAATGGCAGGGAGAATCAGTTGCTGTGAATGATGATTTTAAGTAAGCTGAATGTATCCAGGGCCAGATTTCCCACAAGGCCAACCAAGGCCCGACCTCGGGGCAGCAGAGGGGCAGCAGGGGTGTGGAATCCCCCGACGCCCAGGATATGCAGTTCTGGGCGCCAAGCAGGTAGTTGTTTTCTACATCTAGCCCTGCTTTGGGCAAGCAGAGCTAAATGTACAGTGGAAGAGCCACCGCTTGTTTTCTACAAGTGATCTCGGTGATGTCGCCAAGATCACTTGGGGTGGGGGAGGTTGGTGGGGAGGGGGGCGCATTGAGGAACCTGGCCTTGGGGCAGCAGAGAGAGTAAAACAGGCCCTGAATGTATCTTTCAATTATGAAAAGTTTTGTAGCCGGATTGCATATATTCACAGGTAAAGTGGAAAACCCCTTCAAAAAATGTTGTGTTTTTTTAACTGCAGATTGTAGCCAAGGGCATTCCAATGTTTGCAAGGATGATTCATACCCGTAATGGCAAAAAATATTCTATACCATATGGGAAGCAACACCAGGTAAGGTTTCTGTATATTTCCTATATTAAAGAGCGCCACCATATCATGATCTGCTGCGTGTAATACATGGAACATGTTACTTTTACATTGATCCCTGCTTCTGAAGAGTTTACAATCTAAAGTCCCTAGCATAGTCTACAAGCACATTCTGAGGCTAGTTTTTTCATTAATTGATTCCTCAATGAACATTTTAAAATGTTATTAATGCCTGCATGCAATGTTAACAGCTGGCTAACAAAGCATTCCTTTACATCATTTACCATTTTATGTGTTATTGCTAATATAGTATTATAATTTAGATATGAAAAAAACTCTTCAGAGCTCCCTCCTCTGGGTCCCCTGTTCCTTAAAAGCAGATGTGGGGAAAAGGTTTCTCTAGCGGAGGAAGGTGGGACTGACTGTGAGTACTGACACTAGGAAATGCATATATGGCCAGGATGCAAATTTTTATATAATAAAACATTTCTTCTATAAATTAAGGTGGGGGTGATTAAAGTGAAGCTGTACTGAAAGAAATATGGAGGCTACCAATGCTCTCCTCCTAAAAATGTTACTTGCCTGCCTCCTTCTAAAAATGCTAATTTCCTGGCTATCATGTTTTTCTTTTGGTCATTCTTTTGAGTCATTGACCAGGAGCAAGCATGCAAATAGAAAGTTCTGGCTTTATAATTACTTTAATGGCTGTGTGCATCTTCCAGGGCAATAGCTAAGTAAGGGCTGAAAATCAGCATGAATGCCAAGAAATTGAGATTTTCACAAGACAGGCCTCAATGTCAGTCCCACTTTGTCTCTTAGACCACCGGTCAGGTGCAAGACTTTGCCCAATCATGGCTCCTAACTAAGTCCCAGCAGCACACTATATAAGGCTGCTTACAACGCAGCCTTACGCAGTGTGTTGCAGGAGTGAAAAGAGAGAGAATCTATAGCAGGGTTCTGTAGCAGGGTTCTACAAGTCCCAGCAATACATTATAATAAAAATCAGCAGTATATTACCAGCACCCCCCCCCCCCCC